TATGCTTATATTTTTTATTAAATTAATCTTATAAATTTTTATCTAAATAAAATAACTGAACGTGACCAGAAATATATATAATTAGGTCATTTATGCTGATGATGAAGATGCAAGCACGCTTTTACCAAGAATTCATATCAATTAATCAGAACTTCCATATCATAAATTATATATTATATCATTTAATACTCATTTTGATAACCAAATAATGTATACAAGCCACCTCGTAATAAATAACTAAACACCCCACAGCCTTTAAATACATTTGGTTTGGCCAAGACATTGTTATGCCATTAAAATCACTCTCATTTTCACACTGTAACAGCCTTTATGGTTGTCAACTAACCACATTAAATGATTATTTATCTTCCATATTGCTAAATAACATTGACAATGCTGCATTGTTTTGCCAAAATTAGTCTCCATTTGTTTAAGGTGTCGGTTTGGTTCTACTATATTCTCTCGGTTGTGTGGCAAATGAAAGTCCTTTTAATAATCCAACTCAGTGCATATGAATTTATTAATTAATATTTACCCTAAAGGAATTTAATAGAGCCGTTGGTCAAAGAAACATTTATATCAAATCAAAGCACACACATCACAAATTCATGCATTACTTGCATCTATGCAAGTTTAACTCCTTTGTCCGTTGCCTGCAGCTCCGACTAATGCGACCGTTCAACATTTTAGTCTATGTCCAAGTCCAGATCAGCAGCAGGAGCAGACTCCAACTCCGACTCCCACTGCGTTTCCATCTCCAAGTCACAATCACAATCAGGGGCGAGTTACGGAATCAAAAGCAGCGACCGAAGCAAAATCAGGAGCAGCAACAACTGTAATGGCTTTAGAGTGAAACACTTTAGTAATTGGTAGCTTATTTCCATCAGCAGGCAGGCGGCAGGCGGGTGGAATGGCTGGAGGGCTTGGGGCTGGGCTAGTGTCCAAAAGGAAGAACTAAAGGAAATGAAGGGACACAGCCAGAAAACAGGACCAGTTCTGGAGCCAGAGCTAAGGACCAAAGCCAGAGCTAACGGCATCACGATTATGCACAAAAGCCCCACTGTCAAGCTTAATGTGAAACGTCGCACAAATGAAACAAATGCAAAAAGCGATAGGTGGGGGGATCGGTATAATGGTCGGGGGAATAGTCTTGTGGGGATGAAGAAAGGAGGAGGGGGTTGACAGGAAAATAAAATGGAAATGACACATCTTACACACAGCTTTAATACGGGGCTTTATTGTGTTGTTTGTGTGTGCTTTTGGCCAGCTAAACTTCAACAGAATCTCCATATATCTATGGTTCTTACATATTTTGTATACCCTGTAGAGTGCAAGGGTATATATGTTATAGGGAAATTGAAGCTGATCCTGTGGAGCAGCGGAGTTGAGTCCTAGATCTTGATGAATTTTTATTAATTAAACTTTAATAATTACTTAGATATATAGTTACTATTAGTTCTCATAAAATTATGGATCATAATACTTCTAATTTGCCTTACATTGCTTCTAGAAATGTTTTATAAACCTTTGAAAAGCCATATGATATTTAGGTATTCATTGTTCGATTCACTCCACCACAGTGTTACTTCATGTCTTTTATCTACCTGAAAGGTAGATATATGCGGGTGTTTGTCTCCCATAGGGCAGCACCACCACCAACTAGGGGAAACAAGAAAAGATTCAGGAGAGAGGGAATGCAAAAAAAAAAAAAAGGTTCCTACTTTGACATAATTAAACGCATTTGAAAGATGAAGATGTCGACGCTGTCGCAAATGGGAGGAACAAGACCAAGATGAAGATGTTGATGGTGGCAACATCCCCTCCTCAGCTGAGCCTGATTCATGACATGGCCACGGCTAGGCAAAAGGTGTGGCAATCTGCCACCTTAGCAACCTTCAGCCTCCACTCGTCGTCCAATCTCCGAGATGCCACCACATTGATGATGAAGCTGATTATGTTCGGCTCCCTGGCTATGTCCCATCATCTGCCGCCTTGGCCGGTATCTTCATCTTACATTTTTTACTTGGCCGCCTGATGATGAAGATGAAGTGCGGTTGGTTTATCAATATTACACTGATGGAAATAAATATTATGCTAGGTAGAATATGTCATATGTATCAGGTATAGAAATGTATATTATTACAAACTTCTCAATTAAATGGAAGTATTTTCAAACCAAAGAATAAATTCCCAATTATAAGAAACAATCCTAGAAATAAAGTCTTAACCATAATAATTTCTTTTACATGTCTACGATGATGAATGAACTCATAAATCTTTGTGGAAACTTCTTTGGCCATTTCTCTCGGTGTGTGTCTATGCAACAGAATTGGAAGAAGCATCCTCTAGCTCACCGGTGGCGCAAGTTGAAAAGATTTGTGCGGCATTCGAGGCATTTTATTTGAGTTATTTAGTTGGTCGGCTGATGATATTTTTCCCTCCTTCCATTCTCGATCGTTGTTGCTTCTCTTCAGCCATTGCTGTTGGCATTTTATGGCGGCCATTTCTCTTATTTAAGGTGCGAGCGCATTGAGAATGCCACCATTCCAGTTCTCCGCCAGCCTCCTCGGCTGCTTCAACTGCTTGTGGTTGCTGTTGCTATTGCTGCCGTTCTTGTTGTTGTTAAATCCATAAATTATGCAGACATTTAGCAGCAGCCACGAGACCGAGGAAAATTACGTATACGCCGCGTGTTCGCCGCTTGTCCGTTCATAATTTAAGTTTTTCCGCTTTCGGCTGTTGTTTTTGCCATTGTTGTCTCCTCGGTTAGCTGATGTTGTTCTTGTTTGTCAACATGTCTCAGGGTGTTGGCATCGGTTTATTGTTGCTGTTGCTGGATCTATATATATGTATATATATGTGTGTACGTATCTGGGAGAGTGTGTTTTATTTGTGTGCCGCCTGCGGCCATGGTGATAACTCTGATGACGTTGATGAAAAACTTTTGATTGATGTGGTGGCAAAAACTTCATGTTTGTCATTAGGCGCAGCTAGAAGGAAAATCAGGCAAAAAGGGGAAGCTAAAGGGTTTCCTGGATGCGGTGTATAGTGTTTTTGTATTTATGTGGGTGTGTGGGTCATACATATATCGTATCGGCGGAAAGAAGCGAACAAGTTTTTGGCATAACAAACGACAGTCGACAAAAAGTTCTGTGTGCGTGGATGCAGCACTTGAAGAGCTTTGCGAAAAGTTTTGTTTATTAATTAATTGAGGAGGGCTCGTGCATGTGAGTGGTTCGAAGGAGTTTGCTCTGTGCGTTGCCTAGGTTGCTGAGTTTTCCGTGGCAGTGAATTGAGTGAAAAGTTTATTATTTGTACGAAAAATTTCAAAAAAAAAACACCCAATTTTTTTTTAAGTTATATTTTAATTAGGTAAACTATATTTATCTTAGTACCACGTAATACTTGCTTATTTTATGAACTTAAGCCTAAGCATAGTTCAGTAAGTAAACAGGACAAGATCACAGGGTTGAGAATTGAGAGAGATTTGTACGTATATCGGAAAAATTTAATTAGAAAAATAACCAAATGCAATTAATACAATTTCTTTGATGTTTTTCGAGTCTATTTTAAATTTCTAAGCTATTGAAAATATATATATGTTAAAGATTACTATTTAAAGTGAAAAAATAGATAAATAATTTAATAACAATTTTTTTTTTTATTTTATGTATATTTATAATCATACCAATATTTTAGCTTAAAGTGAAACGCTTTAAATAAATAAATAAATCAATACAATACTTGATCTTTTTAATTGAAACTTTTATAAATCTCAACGAGATCAACCTGCTGGCACCATTTTCTTCCTTACCCTTATTTTAAGCTTCAGCTTTAACTATAGTTTTACCTGGGTTCCTACCACCACACCCTGCTATACCGTGTGTCCTTGGCACCACCACCTCTTAGAAGTAGGAGCCATTCATTACGGAGTGTTTGCCTTTGCCTAGTTGCAACCAACAATGCCACACTTTTCCCCACTTCGTAGTTCTTGTTTCTACTTTTTATTCTACTCTCTCGCCTTTTTTCCACCGCAGCAGCAGTTTTGTTGGGCACTTTTTAAACTTTTCTCGTTATTTTTGCACATTCGCTTGGGTTTTATGGGCACTGCTACACTAATTACCTTGTTTTTCGGAGAATTAACTTTTCGATTACTGTTGCCACAGTTTGTAACTGCTGCGATGAAGAAGAAGACGACGGAGAAGAAGTGAAGGAACTTACAAGTGTGCAAAATAAAAATATCGATGCGGGTTAACGTGATGAAGGGAAACTGTTGTAACGAGTAAATTGTTTCTGGAATTCCATCTGACCTCCGTCCCTCTCGCACATACATACATTTTTGTAAAAAAAAAAATTATGAAAATATGCTAAAAAGCAGTGGAGAGTAGCAAATCACAGACAGAAACAGTGGCCGCAAATTTTTGCGGTTTGGCAGTTTAAAAGTCCCCCTTTTTGGCCTTCTATGAAGCGCCCCCCTTTTCACTCACATTTTGATGGGGGGCAGTAAATTGGGGTCGACCTTGTTGGGGGGTAGTTGCTTTTTAGGGAGAAAATTTATGCTGCTGCTGCATACATATATGCATATATGTATGTATGTACCTAGCTAAATGAGATTATTAATGAATAAAGAGCGCCTTCAAGCGGGTGTTGCCACAGCTGGATCGAATAAAGTTTGTTACCTTATTCCGATTTTCCTTCAAAAACTTTCTCAGCCTCGTAGAAGCCTCTTTGTGCCTTCATAAAGTTTTTGGCAGACTGTTTTGAAAATGAATTATCTTGAATCGAATTAAATGATGGTAATGGCTAATTAAGCCATTTAAATTGAAAATTCATAAACGGGTAAAAACTTCTTCTGGACAAGTTAAAAAGTCTTAAAAGTTTTTGCCAAGCTTTTGCTTTGACTTTAAACTTCTCCACTTGCCAACTTTTAATTTTCTTAGACTTGAAAGTTTGCCCTGAAAGTGCAATTAACTAATTATCTCTTTCTTATTTTCTTGCAGAAACTGTTGGAGTCCGTTGACAGTATTAAAGGTAAGAACACATTATATTTGCTGCCCTTATTTCGACCCATTATTGAGTTCATTTTAATTAATAAAATTCGCTGTAAAGATTCATCTTCTTATCGCAACCGTCATGTAAAAGTGTATTTACTTTTATTTCATTTCCCTTTTTTTGTTTGACTTAATGCCCTGTAATCTACGGGTGTGCTTACGGATTCAATCAGTATCTGAATTCCCCAATGACGCATTATGGCCCCAGAGCAGTAATCAGAAAACTACGAACTGTAATTTGTGACTTACGAAAACAAAACATAACCTTTATTAGTCATGATAAATAATTGAAGAAGTAATGAAAGGTAGTCATGGAAATGAACTAGTAAATATTAATTAGTAGTGCTTCTCTGTTTATTTTTTCACAGGTTTAAACAACATACAGTTAATAATAAACTAGAACTAATTTATATTTAGTATTTTCAGTTATTTTAGCTTTGTATTGTGACCTTTTAATTGCAAGTTTGCTAACAAATGTTATCATTACATTTTTCAGTTATAATTTCCTTTCGTACTCAGTCATCTTTCTTTAAGCTGAGCTGTCAGCAGAGCTCTGTCTCCATCGCTTCCCTTTTACACTTCCCAGAAAGTGAAGAAACATCTTCATGAAGTTAATTACAAGGAAATTCTGCAGTGATTTCTGCTGGCCAGGCTAGCAAACGCCCCGAAACTGGCCATCGGCTCCAGATGCTTCTCGGGACAAGAGCGCAGGGACGACTTACATTTTTCTTTTGCATTTTCCCTTTTTTGCCATTTTCAAATGTAATTACATTTCATTTTTCTCGCTTCGCTCCTTTTCGGTCGTTCCCTGCTGCCGAGTTGGCTGAGTCGTTCATTATCCAGCGCTGTCCATAACATTTTGTTGCACAGTCGTCGCTAATCTTGGTCGACAAGTTCCCTCCACCAGAATGCCCGCCAAGTCTCCTGGCCCTTAACTATCTGTCTCTGCTTCCTGGCGACTGTTTAAATGTCAGTTAAAATCCCATAAATTCCCCTTAAATGACTTCTGTCTGCCGCAATTTCGTTTGCCCAGCATTGCTGACCCTGGTCGGATATGGGCAAGATGGCCAAGACGAATGGCCAAGAAGAATTGCAGTTGGCTTGGGGGGCTGGAAGCTGGGCTGAATTAGCTCCGAGAGCTGGCAAATCACACAAAAATCGTTGTCTCCTCGTAACTCTGGCTTTAATTCATTCAACGTTTTTTGTTGGCTTAGCAAGAAAGATAAGAAAGCGTTTTTATCCATCCGTCTTACTTGGCCAAGAATCAGTTGGCAAGAAGAATAAGAACGCAGAGCTTTCCTACTGACCAATGTTGCAACCTACATCTAGCAGCTAGCAGCTAGCAACTTGCAACTTGTGCAATTGGTTCAATAAACTCATTAAATGCTTTCAACTTTTTGTTTCCAGTTTTTAGAAGTTTTCCTTTTTTTTTTTTTTTTTGTTGTCCCTATTCATTGTCCTTCGCGAAAAACTTTTCCGGGCAGAAATGGCGGTCATTCGGTCGCCTTTTGCCTCGTTTTCAACTTGTCGCATTATCCCTTTTATTGTCGTCGACATTTGCAACGCATTATCCTTGGCAGCTATTTTTGTTTTGTCTGTTGGATGGGAAATTTTTCCCCATTTTTTTTCGCTCCTCGTAATGCCGCTGGTAAAGGTTTCATAACTTCGTTTGGAAGTTTGACTAATGCGTGGCATAAAAAAGTATTCTGTCCAGTTGGATTGCATCAAAGGGATTTAAAAAAGAAATGTATTACACAAGCCCCAGTAAATCCAGTCTGTGATTTAATTAATTACAAATGGATTTAACAACCCATTTGCATACCTTGGAAATTAGTTAAGCCTGACTAAGACTTTGTTGTTTTTCTTTTGTTGGATTTAGAATGGAAATTTAAATGTAAAATTTAAAATATAGGACATTACTAGAGATACTTTAATGAAAGTTAAAAAACATCAAAAATATGTACCTTTTGAATTTCGAAATATTTTATTTTTTAAGAATAAATACATGTTTTCCTTTTAATCTGATATTTTCCTTTTAAAATATAAAACTGCACATAAACCATTGCCATGATCTCATTCGCACTTGTTCCCATTCCTTGCCAATAAATATTTGGCCCAGAAAGCATTTAACTTATTTGCCTATTTCTGGCTGACTGGCTGGCTTTGTGCCTTGGTCCTCTGCCTTGGCCCCTTGCCAAGCTGTTGGCAAACAATAAATTTTGTGGGTGAATTTAAGCGCGGCCACATTTTAATTTGTGGCAGCCACAGCCGAAGTAGCAGGAGCATCAGCATCCGTACGAGTATATGGAAAAGCCAGCCAGCCAGCCAGCGGCAGCTTCCGATTCTATGCCTCAGCCTAACACCTTGGGTTCCCCCCTGTCTCCTGCCACCACTCCGGAAAAACCGCAGCATTCATCGTTGCCTGGGTGCGGCTAAAGCCTCAACCATAACTATGATAACGAGTGGCTCAGGCGGGGATTCGGGGAGTGGGGAAGGCGGGGGGCCAGGGCAATGTCAATTTATTTGTTGTGCCACCAACCGCAGCTGGCTTGGCTTCCTTGTGTTGTGATTCTTTTGGAGGTTTTGCCAATTTGTCGGTTTCCTTTTCTGGCTTTCTCTCTTTTTACGTTACTTTTTTTTCTAGGAGCAACGTGGAAATTTCTTATGAAAACTTTGTTTACAACAATCAACCCGCAGTCACCCCGCCTTAGACCTCCCAAATATTCCCGCTTACTTGCACTTACTCCACCAGTATTGAGTTGACAATATTTTTAATAGAAACCCTCAGACTGGCAGCCAAAGTTTTCTTTCACTGGTTAGAAGGAGCAGGAGGAGGAGGAGGTAGTGGTGGCTGGAACAAAGTTGGCAGTCTTCCGCCTGTGTTTGTGTTTCAATTTGTGTGCCTTTTATAAAATTATGCACTTTTGCCAGCTGGAGAGATGCACAAGTTCGGCAACAATTTGGAGCCAATTGAGTTGCAGATTTTCGGGGTTTTCAGGCAACGCTGTCAAGCTGCCTTTGCTGCAGGATGATATGTAATTTTATAATTTATTTGCAGTCTCAAAAAAGGATTTAATTTCCTACAAGATTAATCTGTCTTCTACAATAACGGTGTTAGCTTAACTTGAACTAGAAATCAATCTCCTTTTAATTATCTAATTCCTTTTTCTAATTTCTCCATGTAATTTGCAATGCTAATCCCTAGGCAGCTGCACTTCCGATTTCAATTTTAGCCCTGATTACAATTCCATTTCCAATTGCCGTAAAGAGCAGTTGGAATTTGTTTTACTTTTCCTATACTTTGCTCCCTCCGTTTGGGAGTCCATAAACAGTCGTCGGCCCCCCTCCGTTGGGCCATTAATTTCTGGCTAAGCCAGGGGAGAGAGAGTAAAGAGGACCAGGGAACAGAGGTTAGCATTACGGCCAACGCAATACCATCATCCATCGAAGGCCATAAAAGCTGGAATGCGAATGAGAATGAAATGTTTCACTCGCAATTTGAGCCGTGTTGTTGTCTCTCATTAAAAGCTGTCAATGGTTCATCATTGTAATTAAACAAGGCTGGCTAAGACGGGGTGTAGAAGGTGTGAGTTATATTGAGGGGGTTGATTGTTACACACACACACACACAATCCATTGAACGTTTTAAAAAATTAATTTCTCGGTGACAATAAAATCTTGCCACCTTTCCACTCTTCTGCCTCTTCTTTCGTATGCCTTTGGCAATTTGTAGTCCTTCTTATGTCCCTTTTATTGCAGCAGAGGTTTCCTTGGCGGCAAAGTGTGTAATAAAGCTCAGTTGATAAATGTATATATGTATAAGGTGATCTCATGCTATATAGCTTGGAGGTGCGGCCAGTAAGCTGCCGTTCGGGGACTGCAGTTCTCTCCACTGCAACAGCGATTATAATGGGACAATGTAAGGATTCGTCCTGGGAGTTCTTTTGCCGCAGCGTCATTGTCGATGATAAATGGGAATGGAATAAGGAAAGAAAAAGGAAAAGCAGCGGCGGTTTCCGTTACTAAAAATTATTGAAATTTAAGTTGAACAAAGAAATGAAAAATTTTAATTAAAATAAAGGGATTGGAATATACATATAGATGTTATGTTATAAAAGACCCAAGAAGTTTCTTTAAATCCTACAATAACACAATTATGAAGATTCTATAAATCCTTTATTTCTTTACTTATTAAGAAACAGTAACTTCCTTTATCTCTGTGAACCTAAGAAAGAAGATGTTAAGACCCTAATAAGCTCTTCATAAAAGCATAAACCGATGAATTCAAGCAAATTCAAATACTATCCAATAAAGCAAGAGGCTAATAAAATCGGAGAATATTCATGAAGGGAAGCCCTGTTGGCTGCTGTTGCTGCTCCTCCTTCCCATGGTGCCGCATATCCTGGTTCGCTTCTCCTTCTTTCTACCCAAAAAATAGAGCTTAATGCATTATGAGCTTTTTGGCCTTTTGTGCTCACAACAGCCGGCAGCCGACTTCTCTTCCACTTGAGTTGTGTCAATCCCCGGCTAAGACTCTGTTGCCACAATCAAGTTCATTGGCCAAATCCGACCACAAAAACACACAGGAAATACGAACAGATGTTGGGGCGAGGAGGCGGCGGTAGGACTTATTGTGAAGTATCTATAAAAGTCATTAGACTTAAAGTTTTTAGTGTCCCCTACGGAGGAGCTGGGAAAAGAGAGGTGCGAACGACTTGGGGGGGTTAACCTGAAGTGATTTCACACACGTCCCTCCACATCTTGCGATTTTTATTGTTTTGCGGAGAGGTGACGAAGAAGGAAAGGCGGGACAAAGAAGGCCAAAAGGACATAGAAGGAGCAGCAGCCGCCGGGACATATGGGCAAGGCATGTGAGCAACTCGATAAATCAATATTTGAGTGTGTCTATGCCTTGAGTTTTATCCCCTCTTTTCTCTCTCTGTCTCTGCAGTAAATGCAATTGTCTCTGTGAAAGGAGGC